ACCTCGCTGGTGTGTGCTTGGAAGTATGGCCTTAATCTCTGAGCTACCACTAGGAGGGATAGCACGAGCTTCTCCATCTTGGGATATCTCTCCTCGGCCCCTTAAGGGCTTTGCTGCAGAAGTAAACTGGTTACTGAATTCTTTCCTTGTTCTTCACCGGGGCGACACTGACTGAAAAATCAGACACAGCAAGGTACAGGGTAAGAATTTCTCCCTCTTGGGGGCTTACTAGTACTAGGGGTGTAGCCAAGTAGGACTTAAGATCCTGCAAAACCTTTTCACACTACTCATCCCACTGAAAGGCTACTTTCAGGACCTTGAAGAATGGCTGACACTTGCCACTGGAGTGCGAAACAAATCAATTGAGTGCCATTATTCTCCCGGTCAGGCATTATATCTCTCAAGTACTGGTGGGGGGTTTCATTTCAAGGACAACCGTCACCTTCTTATGGTTCGCCTCGATACCCCTATGTTGACTATGAATCCCAAAAACTTCTCTGCCGATACTCCAATGGCAAATTTTGCTAGGTTTAGCTTCATCCTATACTGTCGCATAATTTTGAACGACTCCCTGAGATGTTGAGTATGGGATTCAGCTTTGAGAAATTTTACGAGCATGTCATCTATGTATACTTCCATAGTCAAGCCGAGCTTCTCGCGGAACATTCTATTGACCAAACTCTGAAAGGTGGCCCCGACATTCTTCAATCTAAAAGGCATAACCTGATAGCAGAAGATCCACTATTCTGTGATGAATGAAGTTTCCTCTTGGTTGTTCGGATCCATTATGATCTGGTTATATCCCGAAAAGGCATCCATGAAGCTGAGGAGCTTATGGCCAGCTGTGGCATCAACTATCAAGTCGATCTGGGGAAGGGAAAACTATCCTTGGGGCATGCTCGATTCAAGTCAGTGAAATTGATGCATAGTCGCCACTTGCCATTCACTCTCTTCACGAGCACGACGTTAGCCAACCAAGTCGGATAATCTACCTCCCTGATGGCTTTGACCCGTAGCAGCTTAGCCACCTCCTCATTGATAGCTTTCTACCTGTCAGGCGCGAAGCTTCTCCTCTTCTGTCTCACAAGTTTGCAATTCGGATCAACGCTAAGTTGGTGTACGATCACCGCGGGGTCTATTCCTTCCATATCTTTCTATTTCCAGGCGAAAACATCAGCATTTTCTTTTAAAAACAACATGAGTTTTTCCTTAATGGCTGGGAGTAGCATGGAGCCTACAAAGGCCACGTGCTCTAGGTCCTCATCCAACTATACAGGCTCCAGCTGCTCTGTGGGGGTAGGCCGAGTCTCCAACTCATATCTCATGTCTAAGTCCTCCAACTGGACTAACTCTACCTCCTTCTGCCTCATTGATGACATATAACATTCTCTAGCGAGTCGTTGGTCCCCCTAACCATGATGAATCCATTATCGGTGGGGAACTTCATCACCAAATGGTATGCCGAAGGTATTGGTTTGATGGAATTGAGAGACGGTCTTTCCAACAGGACGTTATAAGCAGAGGTGGCGAACACCACTAGAAAGTGGATAATGGTTGTAACCTGACAGGGTTAGTCCCCTATGGTGAGGATGAGTTGGATAGACCCGACTAACAAGACTCTTTCACCAAAGAAGCCCAGAAGGTGGGTCTTTACAGGTTCAAGCCTTGATCTCTCTATACCGAGTTGATTGAAAGCCATTAGGAAGATAATGTCTACTGAGCTTCCATTGTCGATGAGCACTCAATGTATAGTTTTGTTTGCAACGATTACCTTTATGACCAGGGGGTTGTCATGCGGGTGCTAACATCCTTTGAGATTCACATCAGAAAAAATGATCTCCATACCGCTGCGGGGTGCCTTTCGGATGGCTTGGATTTTGAGGAAATATTTTGACCAGGCTCTCCTGGCATACACCTTCCGTGTTGAACTGGACTCATCCCCTCCTGCGAAACCTCCCAAGATAACTTGGATTTCGCCAAGGGCTTGCTGGTGTTGTTGAGGAGGCGCAACGACTGCTCGGGTATCCCGTCCTTGATCGTTCTGTTGTCTTCCCTCTCTCTCCATGTAGTGCACAGATGCCCCCCCTCTGGATTAAGTGCTCAATCTCCTTCCTAAACTGGATGCAGTCATTCATTTCGTCGCATGTGTCCTTGTGGAACTCACAGTACTTGGAGGCGTCTTGCCTCCTGGGAACTGATTTCATCTATGGTGGCCATCGGCTGAACCTCTCGTTCTGGACCTCGTGGAGGACTTGAGTGATGGAGGTGACCAGTGGCAGAAGTCACACTAGGGTATATCGGGGCTGTAGTTCTTTTGGCGGGGGTCCCAGGCGGTCTCGGACGTTGCCTCTCCTCTTAGGAGAAGGCTCCCTTCCTCTCCTCGGAGAACGGCCTCTTCTTGGGGACCAACCATGATTCCTCTCCTTCTTGGGACTGCGGTCCCTTTTCTTCTTGTCTCCTTTCGCTGACGTCGAGCCTCCTTTCAAGCGGAGGGCCTCCTTGTCGTTGATGTATTTTTTGGCTTTCTCCAGTACCTCGGCAATAGTGGTTTAAGGATTTTTTGTGATTGAGAAGAAGAGGTCCTTAGATTGTACTCCGAGTCCAGACATGAAAGTGGTCAGTGCGAACTTGTCGTCCACACTTTTCACCTTCAAGCATTCTTGGTTGAAGCGTTGTATATAGCTTTGGAGGGACTCGCTAGGCCTCTATTGATGCTCAGAAGGTGGTAGGACGGCTTCCTATATGTCCTTGCTCCGATGAAACGAGATACAAATTGTATAGATAGTTCCCTGAAGGAGGAAATCGATGTTGGTTGCAACTTGTTAAACCAAGCGATTGCTGACCCTTTGAGGGTGATGGCAAAAGCTCGACAGCAGATTGGGTCTTGGTACCCTTGGAGCTCCATCTAATTTTTATAAGAGTTTAGGTGGTCAACTGGATCTTTGGTCCCAACGAACACCTCTATCGATGGCATCTAGAACTTCTGGGGGAAGGAAAAGTGGAGGATCTCAGGGGCGAATGGCTATTCGGTTTGCTAGACCAGAGCGTCTATGGTGTTAGGGGCTTTGCCCTTAACCACTTCTTTCATGTTTTCGAGCTCTCGCTGGAGCTCACGAAGTCTTTGCTCCAATAAGTGATCCATGGTCTCCAATAGGGGGTGGGGTCTATCTTCCCGATAGGTAGCCCTGGCCCGACTGTGGGCCTCATCTTCGTTGTGTTCCTCCAGGTGTCTCCTCCTCTAGAATGGATGTGCTCATGGAGCTCTGTGAGCCCATTAGGCGGAGCTTGGCGCTCTTGAGGGGGAACGTCATGTTGTGCTGGAGGTGGAGGAGGTTTCTGGTGTGCTAGTAGGAACTGCGGAAACTGGTGTGTCTGTATCCACGTCATCAACTCTTGGTTCTGCTTTATCAATTACATCGTGGTTCGACGATAGGCTTCTAGTTTATTGAGCAGCGTGAGGTCCATCACTAGGGGGTGGTTCTCGACGTCTTCTTTGGGGGCAGAAAAGTTCTCCAGTAAGTTTTGTTGAACTTGGGGATTGGCGTGAGATTTACTCATGTTCAGAGTTGAAATCATCAAAATAAAAAAAAGACTCAAAGAAAAACGATGAAAATCGTTCCCACAGACGACGTCATCTGATGATGCTCGGAAATAATGGGCCACGCCCAACAAATGATGTTTTGGGGATTATAGTGGATTAGTTGATTTGGAGGTCTATCTATGGAGGACAAAAGGAACGTAATATGTATGTGGTTCACCTTAGCCAAAGGACTAAGACTATATCTACTGTAAGGGAGTCTCTTAGTCCTTGAGGTCGTATATTAATCTTTGGTGAATACAATGATATTACTGGCATTGGGCCTTTACAAGAGCATAAGCTTTCTGTTGTCCTGGTTGTGTCAAGGGCTTGAGAGTGTAATGGGGAAGATGATCCCCTCTGCTAGGTAACAGTGTCTCATTTATATAGTGACTCTTCTAGGATTTCCTGCTATACTCCTTCTTCTTTATTGTTGATTATGTGGGTCCTCCCGCCTATGTCTTGTAGCAACCTCTGTCATCCGACGCCATTGTTCATCCGACGCCACTGTTTCCATGATCCCTAGATGGTTATGCACACCAATACCCTCTGCTTCAGGGAGTATGTGATTGTCATAGGCGTCAGAAATGATACTTGTGTTCCCAGGACACTAGGCTCCTTTATCCCAGGCCACCCTTCGGCTAGGTTGGAATTAAAACTGGGCTGGGCCACAAGTTTCCTTGTATTGTTGGGCTATACCCTTCGGATTTGGTCTACTCTGTTTTTGGTGTGGACAAGTTGTGGATGCTTCGTTTGGGCCATTATGCGAGCAAGGGTTTTTCTGTACCTGTTAGACTTTTGAATCGTGGCGGCCCACACCCGATATCCCATCATTATCAAGTGACAATAGAGATTAGAAATGCCTACTATAGCTATAAATGTTGTCTATTTGAGTTGCGTGTTATTGATATTGAGAGATTGATGTAAACAAATTCTTCTTACATTCATGACCAATAAAAACAAAAATAGATTGGTTCGTTTCTATGAGATCATCTCTCTCTCTCTGCTCTTACAAAACCCTTAGGTGATCAGCACATGAAGCAAATTTCATACCAATTTAAATGGAAGTTAAAAATTGAACCAATTAAACTTCATTTATTAACATTAGGTACTAGATTCAAAAAATTGAAATATCATGGACCAACTCCAAGGGCAACTCAAGTAGTAACAAATACGAGCTGTAAACTCATATATCATGAGTTCGAATCTTAACAATCTCTTGAGGCCAGACCACAAGGAATTTATCTATCATGAATACGCTAATCGCAGCATAAATGAATATGCATTGACTGGACCGAAAAAGGGATAAATTAAAATACGTGTAAACTGACCCGAAAACCTTTGATTGTTGTATCAAAAAATGAAAATAAGAAAGAAAGTAATATCATGGACAAAATTAACAAAAGATGCATACTTCAACGACCCACAACTGCATTTAATCCGAAACTTATTTAACATTTGCATTGCAATTTACTCCAAATACAATAACAAAGATTTGCAATGGATCACAACTCGCATTGTTCGTTCGCTACAGAAAATAAGAATACAACGATACCTGAAAAAGAAAACTACTTGGTCAAAAAGAAAACTTAAGAAAGAAAGAGGACCAGAATTTAAGCGACTGAATAATCAGATCAAACCTGAAAGAAAGAGGACCAGAATTTAAGCTACTCAATAATCAGATCAACCTGTACCCTATTAGTTTTGAAGAATCTCTTCTTCTGTCATGTCTTCTTAAGGATAAAGCAATTAAACTGAACTTCGGGTTCAAATGGTTAAGTCCTCACCATCACCAAAATTTGGAAACGTTATGCATTTGAAGACTTTGCACTTCGAACATAAGACGTAACCAATCTGTGAACAAGAGTAAGATATAATGATCAGCCTTACCGAATTTGCTTACTTTCAGATATCCCTGGAGTAAAGACTTATAATAATTGTAAAACTCCAAAAATTTCTATTTATACAATCATAAAAAGACTAATTGTAAATATTAATATGTTTATTGGATGGCCACAAGTTCAGCTGATTTAATCATCCATGAGAAATGTTTGATAATAATTATATTTATCCAACAGTCCTCAATAGTGTTATGTGTATTATATTCTTCATATCACCAAATCCTGAACCAAAACCCTCAATCGCTGCTAAGGGCTCGTTGTATCCTTCATGTTGTCAAAGTGGATTGTTCGAAGGGGAACTTATAATTATCCTCAAATTTGAGTTGCAAGTCATTAACTTTGGCTCTACCTTTGCTTCAGTATGATTACAAGAGTTGTACTAGGGACCACTTACAGCTCTGCAAGACGGACAACGACGGTAGATGCGATTTTTTTCAGCTTTCACATTGGTCTTCTGCCCTTTACAAAAATCACAAAGCAACCATCCTTTGTCATTGCAAGGTTCACACACAACCCCTATATTAACCTTTCAAAATGAAGGAAATGGATGAGAGTTAGAATGGAAGGAAAAAACCATGAGGTAATAACTTGAGAAAATGCAGCAGAGTTGTCAATCACTTCTGACTTTTGACACTTATAAAGAAGCAGGCGAACTGAAATAGAAATGTGTTTTGATCAATGTGTGTGCCTGCAAGTGGCATATATCAACTCCAATAAACAATAATACAATAATTTTTGATAATGTAGCCCCCATATTGAGATAGTGATATAACTAAAATTTGTGCCCACACCCTCCATCGAATTTCAAAGTAGCACGATCTAATTCAAAAATTTCACCCAATTGAGCACGTCTAGCATATTTTTTCACAGTAGCTCTTTCACTATAACTGACTCCATGGAGTTCGCCACCACTTTCATCTCTTTCAAAGACTGATCATAACAAAAAGTAATTACTTTAAGTTGTTACAACATTTTTTGTGTTGATTTAGCAATTATAGTATGATCCTCCTTTTCTTCGTCTACTCCTTTGTTACTGTTCTCGAGTTATTCCCTCATTTCATCACCAAACTATAGCTTATCAAGCCTAGATTCCCCTAATCCATGATTGACCTTTTGGCCACTAGTTTAACATGAGTAAGTCCCGAATATATGGTTTCCACAATTTTCGGCACACCTTCAACAGGAAATTCCAACGGAAATTATTATTCAAGTGGTTTCCACCTAGGTTTTTAGAATTAGCATTCTATCTTGGATCGAGGTGGGAGGCTAAAGGATCAGAAGTGTTAGGATCAGATCAACAATCTTAAGATGATATTTGAAGTTTGCTTTGTTATCGTAATCACTTGATTGATTTTTCTAATCAGTGCCTTCACAACAAGAGATGGAGGAGGACTGGGGATCAAAGCCATTGAAGCATGGAAAAAGGCAGCAATGCTCAACCACCTATGAAGTGTGATTACAAGAGATAAAAATTATGTATGGGTTGCTTGGGTTGAGACTTATTTGCTGAGAGGAAGGAGTTTCTGGAGTATCAGTGTGATAAGAAGGGGAGTTAGACTTGCAACTCCCAATTTGTTTCTACAAAGGCAGTGGGCAATACCAGATGCAATCTTTGGCCCCCCTTGATTATTTTCAAGGAATGAAGCCTACTGCTATGGAGTAGATACTTGACTCTGCTTTTGTTGTCGCTTATGGAATGGGGATTGTTACTTTAGGGCTTGTGTCTCTATACTTTTGTTGTATCATTGCTTGAATGGGGACTGTTAATTTATCATGTTCCCTTTCCACACTCCTTAGATCGGATGTGAAGTTGTCTTGTTACTGTGTGCATCTGGATAGTAGGTCATCTGCCTGAGAATCTGGTGGTGTTGTTGCTGGGGTCCTACACTGTTTTTTTAATGCAGTCCTAGTTGCTGTTGTTGCTGGGGTGCTACATTTTTTTTTCTACAGTGATGTTGGTGTGCTACATGCTTGAAGACATAGATTTGTCTTTTGTCCATGCACTTGTGTCCTTTGTAGCTAGCAAAATGTTCTATTTTTTTGCTTTCATTTGCTTTTTGAATGCTTTGTAAATGGGGTGTACCTTTGTACATGATCCTTGGTTAATAGAAGTCATTAACTTACCGAAAAAAGGAAATTTTGGGTTGTATTTGCAACAAGAAATAATATAAAATTAATAATTGGGACATAAAATGTTTTTTGTTTTCGTTTTCATAATTTAGTAAACATAAATTACTACCAAACATATTTTATTTTTGCAGTTTTTAACACAAACAAAAACTGTTTCTTTTTTTTATTTTTTTGAAAACACAGAAACAAAAACGTTATCAAACACACTCTAAAACTAATAATACAAAACTCTTACAAACAAAAACGAGCCAAAACTAGTACATATTTAAAATGTATAAATGATTTGACAAATATATAGAATTCTATTAACTTGTAAAACTACAATTTGAATATTACCATGGTAAAAAATCAGAGATTAATTGTTAATCTTATGAGACTTTGTAAAGAGAAATAGGATAATTGAAATGTTTTGATCTTAACATTAAGGGAGAGATAGAGTTAGAAGAGAATAAGAAATTTTAACCGTTCAAAAAAAACAAAAAAAAACAGAGGCGAATGAAAGTGGAAACCATACCTGACTATGATCATTCGTTGAGAGAACTTTTTTACGATAGATATGAACGAATCTAGAGAGTTTTCTTTAACGCAGAGAGATTTCTATAGCATTTATTACCAGTCGAAATTCCCTAATAAACCGACAAGTGTAAGGGGCAATCACATATGGGCAGGGTGTTTAAGTGTTAAAGTAATAAATATGAATTAGCTAGCTCCTCAATAGCTCAAAGCACCCAAAAAATAAACTCGAATACTTATTCAGATCAAATGCCTAAACCAAACACACCCTAAAATTCTACAAGCTTGGGATTTTTCAAATGATTCAGATCAAATCGCCAACTGTTGGATACAATTTCTTCTTTTCACAATGATGACAAAGGTCCAGCTGAATAGTATTTGGTATTATTCATCGATTCAAACCAAATGGTAATCACACAGCAATCGTACATTCATTCTAACGACATTAGGTTTCTGATGAAGAATCTTTAGTAATAATATGCAATGATTGTAGTTTTAAAGACAATGAAGTCGAGAAGTATTCAATACCTGTTCTTGGAGTGAAGAGCAACAACGCACAGGCCTCAAAATTGTCCTGTTCGACCACAACTTGGGTGGTATTATATGTATAAAATTCTGATTTGCAACTGCCACACTCATCGACATCGCCATTTTCATTTGTGTTTTGACTCGCAGATCACTCCTACTCCCACTGGCCACCTAATCCGTCAGTCACCACTCCTTCCCCACCACAATCATCCGATTACAAGATTTAAAGACCACCCAAAATGCCCCTCGGTATTCCCCATATCACAAGATTGCCACCAAACCTCCTACAAAAGAAGCAGCAGCGGCATACGAAACCTCGCGGTCACTCGGCCGACACAATTCATGTGGGTAAGCTGCGAATTGAGCTGCCCTCAAGTTATAAATTTTGAGAATTTAGCTGTAGTTGGATATGGTTGATCACAAATAGCACGGGAAAATTTTAATAGAACTCCTAAAAATTATAAATTTTTATTGCTGATAGTATAAAAAATTGAGAACTGTGAGCTAGAGAGCTGAATGAGCTGTGCCAGTGTGTGTGTAAAGAATAACAATAGTAAGAAAACAAGAGGATAAATAGTGCACCAAAATAAAGTGTTGGCTAACCCACTCTAATAGGGTTTCTTGCTTATCTAATTTGTATTATTTATTTTTTTTGAAAGAAACAATAGAATATGGAAAACCTCAAGTGCAGGCAAGATAAAGTCCAGTGCATGCTCCTTCCAGACATTACAATTTGACGGGGGCTCAACTCATGCTACGAGCCCAATTTTAATTAAGAATTCAAACTTATAAAGATTTAGTATTTAATCCAAAGGGGTCCACACCCAGTCAAGCTCGCCAAGGGAGTAAGTAGGCCTCCAAGAGCCTCCTCCTAACCTCTTTGCAATAAGGGTCATTCAAGAGTCTCCATCTAATTATCTTGGAATAAGGGTTATTCAAAAGTCTCATATTAACCATCTTGGAGCAAGGGTCATCCCAAGAGGCTCATCCAAGCCATCTTGGAGTAAGGGTCATCCCAAAAGCCTCATCCATGCCGCCTTGGAAGAAGTCAACCACCACCTCATTTTTGACCGAATTTTATGGAGAGCACCATAACTACCTCATCCTTTGAGAAAAGGTTGTCAGCTCCACAAAATTAGCTATTTAGTTACTATTAAGTCGCTGTAAATTAGCTACCTCATTCGTTAAGGCTACTATAAATTGTAAGCCCACCAACACTTGGGGACAGATGACATTTAGTCGAGCACAATTCTCTCCTATCTCTTTAAGCTTATAAGTCTCTGCTCTCCTTATTCACTTGAAGTAATAAAATACACGGCGACCCTAGCCATTCAAAGTCGATGTAGGTCACGTTAACTGAACTACTATAAATCATTGTCTTGTTTTTGTCTTCATCTCTCTACTTAAAGTACTGCATTTATTATTGTTCATTTGACAGGTGGTGTACAAACCTAATTTGTGCATCATCAGTTTGGTGTCGTTTGTGGGAACGACCAAATTCTCATTTCTAAACACTTCCTTTTGTTGAACCTATGACGATCATCATCAGATTGATGAATCAACCTGAGGATAATCCACCATGAGAGGAGGACGTTGTTCCTCCACCAACCAATAATGCTCCAAATGCACAACAAATGATAGAGACAATGCAACAACTCGTAGTTCAGAATCAACAAATCTTACAACTGATGCTCTCCGGACAACAAAGCATAGCACAGCCTAGAGGACATCAAGTCAGAAGAGCTCCACACCCTAGGGGTCAAGGAGTTCCCCACTTGGGCGCCCCACACAAGGGAGCCCTTCCTTAGAACTATGAGGCAGCTCCGTCTCCTTCTCCAGCTCCCCCTTCCCATGGTGAAGACCTTCATTTCCAAGAGAATGAGGGGCAAGAATCAAAGTGTGGAGGACAAGAGTCATTTTCATAACAATTCCAAAAGAGCCCCCAATCACTGGGACCAAAAAAATCAAAGAGGTGTAAAATCAACTGGGCGACGTCTTCAACACCATGAATGAACAAAGACCTGAGACTGTAGACTACCTCGTAAGGCAAACAGACACGCCTTTCATAATCGATGTGGCAAACTACCCACTTCCCTAGAAATTCAAAATGTCATCGATGAAAATGTTTGATGGCACAAAAGACCCATTGGATCACCTCAACACCTATAAGTATTTGATGCAACTACACAATGTCCCTGGCAAAATCATGTGTACATACACACCAGTACATCAGTACATACACGCCAAGCAAAGATCTTGACGTTATTCTAACCATTCAAAAGATTCTTGTTCTTCCTTTCTACTACTCTCCAAGTTTTCAGTTACATATGGATCGAACCCAGACCATAGAGTTATTACTATAGCTTGACCATCTACACTTGAATGTACTTTTAGAATTCAAATAGTAATGAGTACTAACTTGACCTTAAAGAGTAGTAATGTATAGTAACTTAAATTTTGAAATGTTGTGACTGAAAGTTATGATTTTCAAGATCGGTCCTAACATTTTGTGTCTTGGAGTTATAACTTACACTCCCAAAAAAATATAACTTATCTTTAAAATGTTATAACTTTCAATATGATAATAAAATATTCCTATTCTTTGTATAATGACTAACAATAGACACAAAAATAAATGAATGCATACAAATTACATTAACATCACCATAATGATAGCTTTATTTTGCAGTTTGAAAAATTACATACCAATGGAGAATTTTGCAATTGAGAAAATTTTGTGAGCCACAAATTTACACATTAGATTGACATTGATAATATATTTCTTACCAACTCATGTGGGCCGTTGGATTTGTTATGTCTCATTGAGTCCTAATAATCATCTAAATGTTGTGATTGAGCTACATGAGTTGGCAATAATAACATTATGTCTGAGACTATTCCCACCCCCACAAATATCCATTCTTATCCCGTTAAAATTTTTATAATCAAACTACTAGTACACCCTTTATATACTTACCCCATTTTAACTAAGCTCACCCTATGGTATACACACCCCTTTAATAACATGTCTACCTTCTATTTTCTCAAAACTAAAATTTCATTCACTATTTTCTCTCATACACCCTGCACGAAATATCTTGTTTCAATATGGATTTATGTAATGAGATATATGTTAGCATTACTTTTCGTTTTAATTTTTTGTTTGATCTCATGTGTGTTGTGTGAATTTTTTTTTTTTGGTATTTTGTCAAGCTTAATTATTTTGATTTAGGATTTATATGTGTGTGTGTGTGTGTATGCAAACATACAAGTTTGCAACAAGAAGGAAAAACAAAGCTTTGTTGATGGATCAATAAAATGTCTAGAACGCAATCAATTTGGAGTTTGAAGCTTGGAATCACTAAGATCTACTTCTCCTCAGATGGCTCCTCGCCTCCTTGAGTGACGATGTGCTAGCCCAGATGATTGGACTAAAAACATCATAAAGCATCTAGGCTACCCCTGCATCATCATTTGTTGCGCATTCTTGTGCCCGAATTCTTTAGCTACACATAGAGTTGCAATCCCTCAAAAAATGATCTGATCCTATGCATAAATACTTTCAGCAAGCTAAGACTTTAGCCCTTAATCTTATTGTTGTTGATTGACCTGTTACAGATGATTATTTAGTTCCTTATATTCTTGGTGGCCTTCCCACTGAATATGATCCCTTTTGCACTTCCATTAGTGTCACGCCCTATCCCGGCCTTCCAAGGATGAGACAAGACTAGGTCTTTGATATACCTGTTTACATATATAGAATCTAGATTAATAAAACACTAATTAATCCTACAGGTGCAACAACACCACACATTACCTTAGTTAATAAGCATGATGGTAAACCTGTCTCATAACCTGTACCATATATAATAACAATACCAATTGTTTGTTTTCGAGGTTACAAACAGATACAAAATCTCACACCCACATAGCATACCTCACAAGGTATGCCTGTTGAGTCTGTTTACAAATACATATACTATTAACCTGCGATAATAATCTCTCGTTTAACATAATATACAACCCAACAAATAATTATACAGTCCCTCAACCAGTATCATTTACTCATTTAAAACTAAATACATAGCGAACAGAATATTATACTAACGTTGTACAAAACTCAACCCTTTTGACAGTGGACTGATCTGTGTCTCCCTCTGTTGTACTTGAAATGGAGAAACTATAGGGGTGTGAGCTAAACCACACACTCAGTGGGTATACATGTCGTATATGAAATCAAAATGATAGTAATACACAGAAGTAGGTAAATTGTACGTAAATACACGTATCAAACAATAACATTAATGCAATTCAAAAAAACAGTCACAAGCTACAACATATCCATACTACCTCTCATCGGGCAATCGATCCCACATGGATCTATGTCTCCCAAACCTTCCGGGAACACCATAGTGCTAGCACATCACTGCACTCCTAGTGATCAAGTATCGACGTTTCTGTCTCAAACAGTGTGCCACATTCCACAATACACAATTCACAATACACAATATACAATACAAAGCATCATCCAATCACATAAGTACATAGCACATAATCCTGGAGAAATACTATTAAATTCTATCATCTAACATCATCTTATAATAGCATTTTCAAAACATATAAAGATATACACCTACCTCAAATATTTCGATCTAGAACCCTTTGATTCTATCGATGGATCCTTCCGGTGTTTTTGTATCCGTCTCTATACCAACTGTCCTACCCTGTTCCACATAACACATCAATGTTAACATGTTTATCACATTAAATAATTAATCACTAATGCATACAAGATGATTCAACCCGAAGTGCCCCGGTAACCCCGGTTACTGCACTGTTCACTCACATATTGGCACATTAGATTTAGAGATCATATTTCTTCCTCAAATCTTCAAAATCACTCACATTAATCACAATTAAGATTTAGAAAGTCAAACACATTGACCGGGGCTCCTTTTCCACACATTTTGACCCCGAATCCCAAAAATTACACTTCCAACATTTTGTACATTCCGCACTGGATATTATATTCATTTGCATTTGAAGTTTACATTATCACATTAAGCATATTTGGATTAAAATTCACACATGTAACAATAATATTTAGAAATCAGAGTTTCGACATTACCGACACCCATTTCTAATTTCTATTGTACTTTTCTTTTAAAACTACTACACTTAAATTCACATACACATTTAATCAATTCCAAAACAACCCCTAATTTTGTGTAACACTCTTAATAAAATCTGTTTTGAACTTAAAATAAAACATCCCATTATTTTAACACAAAATAACCCACTAATTATGTTTAATACACTTAATTTAAACTCACCAAAATATGCTTTGAAATTACACTAAAATAGTTTCACACATATACACAA